ACTACTTAAATTAGTTTTTTCAATCTATTAGTGATTTGGATTATAACCACTAATTGTTAATCCCAAACTACTAATTAAAAAGCTAACAGATGGAAAAAGTTGATTTAAGTATGTTTTTATATCAATCCACTAGCGAATTTGAATTTTTTAATTTTATTGATAAATTTATCCTTTTTAATTTTTTAATTTTTGGTAACAGTTTTTAATTAATATTCATCTAAGAAGTTTCAATTTTGTTTTTTATCTTTAATAACATTAAATGATTATTATATTTTTATTTTTTACATTAATTGATCATAAAAAAATATATTAACTTAATAAATAAAATTTGCTAATAAGAAAAAATGATCAACTTTTTTCTTTATTTAAAAATAATATAATTTTTTCTTTATTAAAAATAGAAATGAGTGTGTGATTATATTATTATAATTGATTTTATTTATTTATTTTCTTTTTTTATAAAATTAACAATTTTAATAATAAAAAATATATATAGAAAAAATACACTTAATTATTTTTAAATATGTCCTTATTAGTCATTTAATATTAAACAAAAACTACTAACTATTGTATAACCATTAAATATGTCTTTATTAGTCATTTAATATTAAACAAAAACTACTAACTATTGTATAACCAAATAATTATATCAATCAAATCCACTATCTACTATTCATTACTTGCTATCCATTGAATTTTAGCCATTATACCAAACGAACCCTTTGTTTGCAACTTTTTAAATGATATTCTTAAGTATATAAGGCACTAACTTCTTCTTTTTTTTCTTTTTTTCTTTTATCTTTAAACTTTTGCATCTATTGGACAAATGGGCGACAAAAATCCCGCTCAAATGCCAAATCCATGCAAGCAAGTCCCTGAATGACAGTTAAGTTGGTAGTAAGAATAAGGGCTAAATTGCACCAATCACAAAATCTAAGGGCTTATATGTATCAATTAAAGTTTAGGAGCCCAATGCTGGAGTTACTTTAGGAGCTTAGCGTATGGTTTTGCAACAAAAATACTAAAGTACACTGTCTTATGATTTGTGAGCCAAAGGAGAATGTAAGACTATATATATTTCGAAAAAGTGTGGTGTAGTTGAAATTATATTAAATTATATTATATTAATCATTAAATGAAAGTTGGAGTCTTTGATATTGAGACCCTTCTCTCCATCCATTAATCTTGTTTTACAATTCAGTATAATTTAAATTATAACAAAATTTCCATATATTTTTATTAGAAAACTATTGCCATTAGACTATTATTGAGAGTTGTCTATTTTATTTAATGGTTATTGTTTAATACTCTGATAAAGTTTATATTGTAAAATAAAAGACTTTATTTTTATAAAACCTATGTTAAGGTAATAAATTTGTAGGATAAGATCTCGATGCTAGGTGCTTTCATAATAATGGGGAG